ATTTCTTGCTAGAGGCTCACGTGTTGAGCCAGCTTTGACTGATCTTTACCTATTTTTGAAGATGCAGATCTCTGCTGTGTGCTTCTGTGCAAGCTGAGGGTATCCTGGGGCCCATATGCAGGTACAGCCTCTTCCCCATGTGTGGTCTGCTGGCAGGGGTGGGGGCAGCACCCTGAGGACTCAGTGCCACCTCTGATATAGAAATACTTGTTCGGATTCCCCAAGTATTTGGTAATAGTTTAGGTAGCCTTCAATTAATTTACCAGATTCTTTTTTTTTTCCCCTGATGGGGCCAGAGGGTTGGCTCAGTGGATAAGAGTGCCAGCTGCTCTTGTATGGGACTCAGGTTCAGTTTCCAATGCCTACATGGTCACTCACATCCATCTGTAACTTCAGTTTCAGAGGATCCAACACTGTCTCTTGACCTCCATGGACAGCAGGCACACACATGGTGCACAAACATGCATGCAGGCAAAATTCTCATACACAACTCTCATACACAATAAATAAAATAAGAAGACTCTATGATAACTCTGGATGGAAGCAAATGGTAATTATTTTAATATTCATAAGTCATCTAAATATTAAGAGGTAAAATAACAGCCTTATAAGTCCTTCTTATTTCAAGCCTAAGTTAAATTGGCTGCTATACATTTGGGGAAGGTTGAGACAGGGTCTTGCTATGTACTCTGGCTGATTGTCCTGGAACTTGCTATGTAGATAAGTCGGGCCTTCAACTCATAGAGATCCCCCTGCTTCTGCATCACAATTGCTGGGATTAAAGGCACACGCCATAACACCTGACTGATGCTATATATTTTGTCTTTTACAGTCTGTTCACACAGACATTTCTGTTAATACAGCACAACTTTGAAGAGGTGGTACCATATTCCTGGGGAAATGAGGCCAAATGAATTATGGCAGGACATTTCTTTACTGGGGAAAGGCCAAGAGCCTCCTTTTGCTCTTAATCAGGTTTAGCCACAGATCAAGGAAAGCACATCCAAGACAAGGAGACGTCAGGCATTTCATCCCCTGGAAATATAGCTACCCTGTCTCTTGCTTATGTATGAGGCTGTAAGCTGTGACAGTCAGTGTCACTTCACAGATTTATAAGGGCAGCTCTGAGGAAACAGGCTCTGCTGAAGCATTAATTCCACTACAAGTCAATGTAGACAAGTAGCTCAGTAGGAATGGTATCTAAGTGTGACCTTCTTATGCTGTGCAGATATGCACAGATTTCTACAAAACAATGTAAAAAATGGGACTTATTTTGCATACAGTTGAAGAGAAAGATAAAATATAGAGTGCAGAGTGATATTGAGATAATTACAAGCTGTTATGGTGGCTCACACTTGTAGTACTAATGAACCTGAGGCAGGAGGATTGCTGTGAATTCCAGGCTAGCCTGGGTGATAGTGAGACCCTGGCTCAAAATAATAAACAAGACCACCACCAACCAAATAACAACAATAACAACAATAAAAAACTCACTAAAGTCACACTCCTTAGTACCAACTAGACATCTACAATCTTTCAAGAATTATGAAAGTGAGAGCACTTCAATTCCCTGATGGGGTGACTTGATGTTGTCCAGGCCTGGCATGAGAGTAGTCAGCAAATATGTGAGTAATTTCCACTTGGGAAGCAGGAGAGAGGCTGCAGCTAAATTGTAGTTCTGGAAAAGTGGTGCATCCTAGATGGCATGAAGATGGTGAGGGGTTAGGTCCTTAACATGTAACAAGCAAGGGTGAACAAAGAAAAGGGAAGGCTTAGTGAGGGAGTTTCCAGGGAGAGTTTCTACTCATTTTCCTTCACTTTGCAAATAGCTTTCAGGAGGAGGGGGGCTTGAGCTCACAGGGGCACACCTGACAGGACAGGGAAATGAGAATGCCCTGGTGGGAAACTTATGCCTATGGACTGTCTAATTTGGATCTAGAGTTGTTCCAGGCTGAAAACAAGGCAACTTTCACCATAATTGGATCTAACAAATGGAATTCTTAGAATCTATTTCTCTTTTTTTTTTAACTTTGGCTTCCTTGTATATTATTATTTTTATGGAGAGAAATATTTTAGGTACAGGATTTATTACTATCTCTGATAATAGTAACTTTGAGTGTTACAGATGCACAAATTATGTTATGAAAAGCTTTTCACTTGTTCTGATTTCAGCTTCTCTTCAGTTCCACACTACCCAATAGCATCACTTTACTTGGTTTCAGTTGAGATCTTGAGTAATAGGTTTGGTTGTTATACCAGGTAACTAAGGGTGTGTGTGGATGGTGACTATTTAGTTGTATTTCTTATGAGACATGGGTAAGGAAACCAGCTTGTTGGTCATCTTCTGACATGCTGCCTCAGAGAACAATCGGGAGACTATATATCTATATCTATATCTATCTATCTATCTATCTATCTATCTATCTATCTATCTATCTATAGATAAATATAGCAGGGGCTTGGTAGATTTCAGAAAGTGAGGAGATATCAACAGCCAGCTAGAGAGACACTATGATATTGTCCCCTTTGAAGAGACTGCAAGATGATCATTGGAAGGTCAGTTTCACATATACCCCATGCCCAGGAACTGCTCCCTAGATTCACAATGTCAAAGAGGAGCTTTTCTGCTCTACTTCTCTCCATCTGCTACCCTTGAACTGTGGGGATAGCTAGAGCCAGGCTTAGCATGCAGTGAGGAGGTAGATGGATCCAGAATGGACTCTTTGTACAGGAAAACAAAAACAAAACAAAAAACCCCAGATGGATCTCCTTGCTTTTTTGTTTGTTTGTAGATTTTTTTTTTCTTCTGTGTGTTTGTGTGTGAGTGTTGACTCATGAATACCTGGCCAGTGCTCTGTCAATGAGCTATAGTTCCAGCTATAGGTTTTTGTTTGTTTTGCGTGTGTGTGTGTGTGTGTGTGTGTGTGTGTGTGTGTGTGTGTAATTCTGATGCTGTGCCCATCTCCTTGCCAGGCTTTTTGAGAGGCCAAGATAGCTTCTGAAGAGGGAACATGATGTATCTAAAACATAGATACATCTAGGACTAACAATGACTGGAAAACTTTAAACCCTCTCCCCCTAGCTAGAGGAGTCCTAACACCCACCTGCAGTTTCACTCAAGAGCTGGAGAAAGCAATGAGTCCCCAGGACAGGTCTCATGGGTGGTGGAAGGAATGGTACTCTGAGGGATTTTTGATTACATCTAATGAGTTTCATCTGTTGTATTGACTTTATTTTTGCAACATAAATAATGTCCTGTGCTTGTTCCAAATTCTATAATAATAGCTTCAGCTTGACACAATGAGCCTCAGTAGAAGATTCTTTGAGAGATTCAGTAAGATGTGGACAGGGGGAAATAAAGCCAAACATATTACCAACTATTCCAGGTGGTCCTTCCATCATAGCTGTCTCCCTTAATCGCAATGGGAAACTCGGATAAATGCTGTTGTCTGGCTGTTGGATGCAGAATGAGAGACAGAGGATTAGACAGGTGTGAGTACACATCACAGCCCTTGAGGGGGATTGCTTCTTTTCTAGCCCATCCGTTGCTGACCACACACCTTAGCGTCTGCTAACCCTTGTTGTGACTGAGGAGGAAGAGAATGGCGTGACCATTATGTTGAGGTAAGAGAGGAGTCAGCCACACTCATCAGCACATACAATCTTTATTTGCTTCCTAGGCATCCGTAAAATTGACTTTAAGATGTCTGGAAGAGGTTTCTTCCAAGTGCCTATTTTTAACTCTTTCATGTAATATTTCATGTTGTTGAAAACAGGACTTAAGATCGCCCACACATCAGGCAAGTGTTTTATCTCAGCCCATGGCTTTTATTTGTAGAGACTTAGGCCAATTAATCTTTTGAATATATGAAAAGTATAAGATAGCCGTGAAAAGCAGCTCAGACGTTAGCCCCTTTCAGAAAGTTCTGAGAGAGTCTCTAGAAAATAAATTCATGTTCATGGAGTATGTACTTTAAGAGTTAGGGAGCATAAAGAAAATGCCTTCAGTGCCTGAATTCTCATGAACTTTAGCTGAAGCCTGTCTGGAATTCAAGACTACTCTCCATCTTGGAATTTTGCCTGTTTTCACCATGTACCAGAACTTCTAAAGAGGAAGAAAAGTTTGAGAATGAGGGGGGGGCATTATAACAGTATTTTTATGATTAAGCAGCATCATCATCGTCCAATCTACTCTGATCTTTTTCCCAACAAAGAAAATTGCCCCTGTTTGACTCCATGTGCTACAGAAGCCAAAAAAAAAAAAAAAAAAAAAAAAAAAATCCCAGTGAGACCCCCAAGGCTGTCCTGCCTTTGTGCCAGGACATGCAAATAACCCAGGCCAATCACTAACCTGTTTGTAAAGACCTCCAATCAGAATGAGCCCAGGCTGCCTCCTAAGTGCTGTTGTTGGTTGCAGTTGTTGCTGTTGTTGGTTGCAGTTGCACACCACAAGTGCCTTCCTGTCTCCCACACTCTTATCTCACACTTCCACTTTCCTCCTCATTTCCAGTAACCCCCTTCTTAGCTTTGTCTCCACTTCCTGGCTGTCTCTTTCCAGACTTGGCGGGAGACAACTGTTGGTCTGCAAACAGCCCAGATGTAAGGTAAGTTGCAGGGCCTGGCCCTCTGGTGTCTGATCCCCCCTCCATAGGGTCAGGCAGGGGTCAGCACTCCTCATTTTACAAGCTTTTATTTGGCAGTGGGGTCTCCAGCAACCTTAGCAAACACTTCAGATCACTTCAGCTCCCCAAGGCTGACATTGCTGTGTTGGTTAGCAATGGGACACTAGAGGGCTCCCAGGGGTTGAAAGAGGCAGAAAGTTGTTTGAATGAAAACTGATTCCGAACTGTGTTTTGAGAATTCAAAATTAAATTTTATTTATTTTTTACTCATCTTTCAAAAAGAACCTCCCGAGCCTGAAAATTGTGCAGCAGCCTGTTTACAAATAAATTTGGTTTTGCTGTCAGGAGCCAGCAGCTTTGAGAGCTGAGCTGAGGCGCCCGAAAGGTGAAACTCTTTTGACCATGAAATATGTTCTCCTTACATGCCGCAGCCTCTTCGAGTTCTGTGCATTAGGGTCAGGGATTCCATTCATCCTGGAGCTGAGCGTGCGGCCAGCTGGGTGAGTAAACTGGTCTTTTTCTATCTAAACCAGTTTCTTTCTCTGTTTAAAAAAGTGGAGAGAAAAAAGAAAGTGGAGATTCTTTTCTTTCATTCTGCTCTCTTTAGTGGAAAGAAAAGAAATAAAAAGTAATTGCATTTGTGGATTTGTGGTGTGTGTGTGTGTGTGTGTGTGTGTGAGAGAGAGAGAGAGAGAGAGAGAGAGAGAGAGAGAGAGAGAGAGAGAGAGAGAAAGAGAGTAAATGTTCCTCTTTCCAAGCAACACAGACAGTAAAGGCAGTTAAATACCAGTGTAAGGTATTAGAACACCCTGTGGGGCATTTCATTTAAAGAGAATATGTTTTTGACAAAGTAGTTAGTACATATCTTGTAAAAAAAATAAGGTTGCTTATATAAAAATTTAAATGTTTATTACTTGTCTCGAGTCGCTTCTGAATCACACAAAGAGGGTGTTCTGGGGAGCCTGGGTTGAAGACGGTTTTTAACGCGCACTACTTCACAGGTGTAGCATGGCTTTAACCATAAACCAGCAAGTGCTCTTTGCGGCTTGTTTTCATTACTTTAAAGTGAAATCAGACTCACACAACTGTCTTGTTTCCATGTTTTAAACTTTGACCTCAAACTTGATAGTGTTTATGGAAGGAAAGGGTTACTCTCCTCTTTCCTCTTGCAGAGGAACCAAAATGGGTTGAGATGGTGACTCAGTCAACTTCATTTCCACTCATCCCCAGAGTCAGCCTTCTTTTCTCCCGGGGAAGGCTGATAGAAGTTCAAAAGGCTTGTGGTAGCTAGTGTCCTGAGAGTTCCCAGCGCCAGCAGCGACCCCTCTCTTTCACCTCTGCCTATTGGAGACCACTTAGATATCGAAGAAGACTGGGCGGCTGGATTCAGGAAGCTATGAATCATGTCACTCGAAACGAGCGGCAGACTTTAAACTCCATTCAGCATGTGGAAACGGCAGAGAAATGACCTGTCCAGACAAGCCGGGGCAGCTCATAAACTGGTTTGTCTGCTCCTTGTGCGTCCCTCGAGTGTGTAAACTCTGGAGCAGCCGGCGTCCCAGGACCAGACGGAACCTCCTGCTGGGCACTGCCTGTGCCATCTACCTGGGCTTCCTGGTGAGCCAGGTTGGCAGGGCCTCCTTCCAGCATGGACAGACCACTGACAAGGGGCCACCCCACAGCCACGGCATCTCCAAGGTACTCTTTCCGGAGATACCCCTGGATGGTACCCTGGCCCCTCCAGAGTCGCAGGACAATGGCAGCACACTGCAGCCCAACGTAGTGTACATTACCTTACGCTCCAAGCGCAGCAAGCCTGCCAATATCCGTGGCACGGTGAAACCCAAGCGCAGGAAGAAGTATGCAGTGGCATCTGGGGCCCCTGGTCAGGAGGCGCTGGTTAAGCCATCCTTTATACTGCAGGAAGTTGCACGGGCAGCAGATGCTGAAGTACCTGGCTATGCTCAGGTTGGAGAACAACCCTGGAGGATGCTGCGTGGTCCTGGAATCAGAACTGGTAGTTCAAACTTGCGACAGCCTAGGGCGCGAGAGAGCAACATTCGGATTTACAGTGAGAGCGCCCCCTCATGGCTGAGCAAAGAAGACATTCGCAGAATGCGCCTGCTGGCTGATGGTGAGGTGGCTAGCATCCTGCCAGCTGTCTCTAAGAGTGGTGCCCACTTGCTGGTATTGGAAGGGAGCACCTCAGGCTCTGTGCCTGGCTGTGGGCCTAGTCCCTGTGGGTTACTCAAGCAGCCCTTGGACATGAGTGAAGTGTTTGCCTTCCACCTGGACAGGATTCTGGGTCTCAATAGGACCCTGCCATCCGTGAGCAGGAAATCAGAGTTCATCCAAGGTAACAGATTCACTTGCTTCTTATTTGCAGCTGTTGGGAATTTGGGATCATTTTCTCTTTTTCCTCAGCCTCTCTAAATGATTTTTCTCCACCCACGTTTCCCATTTGGACAGCAGCAGCAGCAGCAGCAGCAGGAGCTGTCTTTCCATACTCATGGCATTCTTTCTCCCAGTCTGGTGACATTGGAGTTCTAGCAAGCACACAGCTTTGCTGGGCATGTGAGAGTAAGCCCACACTGTGCAGACGTCGCTCCCTCCCCATTTTCGTTGCTGCACTTTTTGTGGCATATTAAATCTAATTAAAGCCAATGACAGTTTGCATGATGACAAGAAGCCAGGGTTGAGGTACAGAATGTGCCGACAGCCCCTTACATTATTACAGGTTTCTATGGAAATTTCCTTCCAATGACGGTTTAAAGAGTAGGAGGGTGCTAGAGAGATTGCCCAGTGGTTAAGAGCACTCAGTGCTCTTGCAGAGGACCAGTGGTGGAGTTTTGTTAGCAATAGACACATGGCGGCTCTCAACCACCTGTAACTCCAGTTCAAGGGAATGCAACACTGTCTTCTGACCTCTGCAGGTACTGGGCATGTGTGCAATACACTTGCACACATGAAGAGAATCTTCTACACATAAAATAAAGATTCAATTAAAAAAAAAGAGGAAACTGAGTTAATTACCTCTCCTCAGTAAGTAGAATCTATTCCAGAGGTTCAGACAGACCTGACTGCGTAAGAACCAAGCCCTTTACTTCCCCTGTCACCAATGGATTCAGCCTCTTTATCTAATAAGTAGAGAAAATAAGGAGAAGCTGATGTGCCTAGAATGTATACTTAACTAGTCACGTGATTTCTTCAAACTTACATGCTTACAGAGCATGATTTTCAAAACTGTGTCTTCCTGGAGCACAAAGGTAGTGTCTAGGGCCTGTGGCCTCTAACTGAGGTGCATGGTCACAGCGCTGGTCTGTGGGAATGATCATGCCACATAGAGGATACTCTTTGAATAGTGATACCATGTCAGGGTTGGAATCTGAAGTTCACCCAGTCAGTGGCTTGTGTTTCAAGATTAAAACAATTAAACTATATGCATATGGGTATCTGAGTATTGGCTTATGGTTGTAGTGCTCTCAGGGTTCAGAACAGGGCATTGGAGCCCCTGGTATTAGACATAATGCAGTATATAATGGAGTATTGAAGATAATTTACTACCATGGACCTGGCATCATAATGCATGTGGAAACCCCATATAAGGACAGAAGGGCCACACCCCCAGCCCCTATTGTTTTTGTTTTAAGCAGGAAAACTCTGAAGCAATATAAGGTTATACATTTTTCTTCAAGCCACATGGCTAGTGACTCGTGAAGATAGAACTTGTTCCTGTTTCTTCACAGGCTAATTATTTCTCAGGTTTCTTCTGTAAACCAACACCATATTTTCAATACAACCTGGGACAGTTATGGGATAATGACCAAACTGTACATATTTTAGCATGATATCTTATGATTGTGCTACTAAGTCAACAGATTTACTTCCTTTTTCAGTTCAATAGTATAACTCTGACAATGTTTTCACTCAAGAGAAGTATTGATGCTCCACTCTGACCATTGATATACTTATTTTCAAATGCAAGCTAAAATTCTAATATTTAACATATTTGCTTGTTTGGTGTGAACATAGGCAAATGAAAATATGCTAATTTGTCTTCTGCCTCTCTTTTCTTACACAAGACTTTCAAATTATTATTATTTTTTGTTTAAATTTGAAACAAGCTTGTTTTACATGTCCATCTCAGTTTCTTCACCCTCCCCTCCTCTCCTGTCCCCCTCCCAACACCTATCCCATTCCCTTTCTGATCCCCAGGGAGGGTGAGGCCTTCTATGGGGGATCTTCAAAGTCTGTCATATCATTTGGAGCAGGGCCCAGGCCCTTCCCCATGTGTCTAGGCTGAGAGAGTATCCCTCTATGTGGTGGGCTCCCAGTTCATATACTAGGGTTTACTGATCCACTACCAGAGGCCCCGTAGACTGCACAGTACTCCTAACTAACCCCCGTTCAGGGGGTCTGGGTAGGTCCTATGCTGGTTTCCCAGATATCAGACTGGGGTCCATGAGCTCCCCCTTGTTCAGGTCAGCTCTTTCTGTGAGTTTCTCCAGCCTTGTCTTGACCCCTTTGTTCATCACTCCTCCCTCTCTGCAATTGAATTCCAAGAGTTCAGCTCAGTGTTTAGCTGTGGGTGTCTGCTTTTGCTTCCATCCGCTACTGGATGAAGGCTCTAGGATGGCATATAAGGTTGTTGTCAGTCTCATTATCGGGGAAGGACATTTAAGGTAGCCTCTCCACTATTGCTTAGATTGTGAATTGGGTTCATCTTTGTAGGTCTCTGGGCATTTCCCCAGTGCCAGATTTTTTTTTTTTTTCAAACCTATAACAGCTCCCTCTATTATGGTATCACTTTTCTTGCTTTTTTCTATTCTCCCCCGACTCGATCTTCCTGCTCCCTCATGTCCTCTTCTCCCCTCCTCTTCTCCCCTTCTCTTTCTCCTAACTCTCTCTCCCCTCTCCACCCACGCTCCCAATTTGCTCAGCAGATCTTGTCCCTTTCCCCTTCTTAGGGGGGCCATGTATGTCTCTCTTAGGATCTTCCTTGTTTCCTAGCTTTTCTGGCTGTGTGGATTGTAGGCTGGTGATCCTCTGCTCTATGTATAAAATCCATATATGAGTGAGTACATACCATGTTTGTCTTTTTGTGCCTGGGTTACTTCACTCAGGATGGTTTCTTCTAGCTCCATTCTTTTGCCTGCGAATTTCACAATTCCATTGTTTTTTCCCCCTCTGGGTAGTACTCCATTGTGTAAATGAGTCACATTTTCTCCATCCATTTGTGGTGCTATGTTAATATATTCAGATGGATGTTTTTATATTTTATATAAAGTAAGATAAAGCAGACTGTGACCATGTGAAAGTCAATACATTTAAAAGGGAAACCCAGGGCTAGGCTAGATGGCTTAGCACGTAAAGGTGTTTGCTGTCAGGTCTGATGAACTGAGTTTGATCTCTAGAACTCATACAGTGGAGGGAGAGAAGCAATCTCTGAAAGTTGTCTTATGATTTCCTCAAGAGCTCTAGTAGGTGTGTGTTTTCCCCACAATGAACAAACGAATGAGTGGAAACCCAGTGCCCTTTGTGACCTCTGAATTAGTAGCTTTCCACAGCTTCTTAAGACTCTGCGTGTTACTGTGAATGGGTCTTGGGAACACCATTTGAGTAGCATTCAAACATTTTGTTATTTTTTCATACCCAGCATGGAAGACGCATTATGTATGCTTTATTTTTAGGAGGCTGTTTTATTGCCATGGAGCTGTCATACTGAATTAAGGTAGGCTAGTTCCAAAACTTTTGTGCAGTATGCTGCTTAAATGACAAACTACAGGCACCCCACAGACTTCCATTTAAATTCATTGTGTATCCTAAGTTGCTCACTGTTCCCAACTCTCATTGCCTCTTATTCTTACAGAGCAGGAGAAATATATTGTGTTTTACTTTTTACCCCTGACTTCTCAAGTTTACTGGAACAACCGTGGGGAGTCCTAGCTGATGGTCTATCTGCCAGGGTTGAAGGACAGCACCTTTGCTTTTTCTGTTGTTTAGGGGGTAGGTGGAGATGGAATTCATTTGCTTGGAGTTCTGAGGATGCTTCCACAATTTGGGAACAGTGGTTCTGAATCCTGCAAACCTTCAGTATGCCCGTAAACTTTCTTATAATATTTATTCAGGAGCGAATAATCATGTTTTATTCTTAAAATTTGTGCTCAAAAGCACATTGTGTTCTTTATCAGAAAAGCCTCAAGGCTATTTCTTTAGCAATCAAATTGAGCTGCTCAGCTTAATACTTGCATTCATTTGGGGACAAAAGTTTACTGAACATTTCTCCCAAGCATCACTGGCTGGCTGCAGTGTCCTCTTGTTTGCCTACTACATACACTCACAGACACACTGGAGACCTGACAATCTTCTGCTATGCATCCGGAATTCTTCCTTTATCTTACACTGGACTGGGACAGAAGCGATAGTGAATGGTTGTTATGGTATTCATGCTGTAAACATGTGCCTCAACTCCACGCAAATCTACGCCTCTAGAATTGCATTTGTCTTTTTTGCTTTAGCAAATGTTTATTTAGCACCCACTTTATACCCACTTTATCCCCCCTCCAGTCCTTGGAGCTGCATACCAATACTTCATACTTCAGGGTGATTGTCCTTGTGGTCCTGATTTCACTGAATCTTGTGGGAGTGACTCTTACTGTCACTGATTGCAGGCTTCATACAGCATTCGCCTGAGTTCAAGGTCACCTCTCTCTATATGACCTGAATGTACTACAGTTCTGGGTTGGCAGAGGGACTACACAGGTTCAGTAGGACCAGACAACCTTTCCTCACCTAATTAAAGAGACATGCTTATGAGTTAAGCACAGTTCGGCTATAATCAGCTCAATCTATTGGCATTTAATTTTGTCTATGAAGCACTGGCCCAGAACTGGGGAAGGGAGTAGGATTTCTAATTCAAGTATCTGTGTAGCTGAGTGTGTATACTGGCAGTATATACTGCCTGAGTTTGAGTCCTTATTCAATCATTTACTGAACCTTTTTTTATTAGCATTACAATAATGCTGAAAATTAGAATAATGATGGTGTTTATATTATTTAACATGGCCTTGTCATTAAATTTGATTCAACACACACACACTAGATGAAAACAAAAGGTCACACTTATAATAAGTGTGCAGTAGGCACTATAATAAATATTTGAGTATAGATATTATAGTGTCTACTGCACACTTATAAATGTGATCTTTTGCTTTCATGTAGTTTCTAAGCTGACTTAGCATCTTGTGGTATACTTTTTAGATCAGTAAATGGGCACCTACAATTAATTCAAAGTAAGTCCTATAGCTGGCAGTAGATGATATTATTGTCTGTAATTTTTGAAATGAGAATACTTAA